TTCTGTGTGGGAAGTTTGCCGCATTTCTGTCGTTTGTGGGTTTCAGAATGCTCTTTAATTGTAGTGAACTATAAATCCCAGTAACTACAAATCCCAAATGTCAAGGTCTATTTCTCCAAACTCCATCTGTGTTCATATTTAGGCATATGGAATTTTTGTGTCAAGTTTGGTCCAGATACATCGTTGTTTGAGTCCAGTGCTCTCTGGATGTAGGTGAACTACAACTCCCAAACTCAAGGTCAATGCCCACCAAACCCTTCCAGTGTGTTCTGTTGGTCATGGAAGTCCTGTATGCCATGTTTGGTTCAATTCCATCATTGGTGGAGTTCAGAATGCTCTTTGATTGTAAGTGAAGTATAAATCCCAGCAACTACAACTCCCCAATGTCAAGGCCTATTTCCCTTAAACTCCATCTGTGTTCATGTTTGGGCATATGGAATATTCGTGCCAAGTTTGGTCCAGATCCATCATTGTTTGAGTCCATAGTGCTCTCTGGATGTGGGTGAACTACAATTCCCAAACTCAAGGTCAATGTCCACCAAACCTTTCCAGTTTTTTCTGTTGGTCATGAGAGCTCTTTGTGCTAAGTTTGGGCCAATTCCATCATTGGTGGAGTTCACAATGCTCTTTGATTGTAGGTAAACTATAAATCCCAGCAACAACAATTTCCAAATGACAAAATCAATTTTTTTGAGTGAAGGACATATATTGGGTTGTTGGGTGTCTTGTGTCCAAATTTGGTGTCAATCCCCCAGTGGTTTTTGTGCTCTGATGGTATCACAAAAGAACATTACATTTTTATTTATATAGATGGCAGTACAGATGGGGCCTATGCTTCATGGCAGAGCTAAGAAACAAATATGGAAAGAAATGGGGGAAGCGGATCATGGCCCTTACTCGGTCACATTCCTTTTTACAAGGCAGCGGAAAACTTAACCCTGTTTTCAATTCAGTCCTGAGCCTTTGAACAAAGGCAGGGCTGTGTCCAGCTCAGTAGGTGGTGCTGGATCATTTCCATGTGGGGACTTCCAATAAATGAATGGAAAAACCAATACAGTAATTTCCTCTTTGGCCACGGAGCCAAGACCACATGCCTGTGTAATTTGGGGCCCAATGACACATTCCAGTAGAAGATCTGTCTTTAAATGTATACCTCTTTCCAAATTCATTCCCAGTTCTTCAGGCCTGCCATAATTATGTGTAAACTGAGGAGTCCAATTTGAAAAACAAAAGAGATGTCCAACATCTCTTTGTACTTAAGGATAACACTTTGTAACACGATTTTCATTTCTGGATTGTAGATGCCATAAAAATATGGGAAAAGTGTCTTAAGCTGTCAAAACTTTGTTTTTACGGGCCATCCTGCAGCACATTTTGCTATAATTTTTCAATGAATATCTCATAAGAGCCTCAACCAATTCAACATGGTTTGTGGCAGCCACGGAAACGAAGTTTCTGGAGTATAACAACTACGGTACTTTCAAAGTAAATACTACACAGTTAGACAGGAAATGACACTTTCGAGACAGGAAAGGGTAATTTTTCAAACTTTGTTACATTGTTCAGTGTTTTTATAAGAATGTTGCAATAAGATCATACTTATGGGGAGCAAGTTTTGTCATTTTCTATCTATATATATATAAATGCTCTGTTCATAATGAGTACCTTAAAAACAAAAGAACCAATGAACGAAATCACACCAAATTTGGCAACAAAACGTCTCACAACACAAGGAGTGACCATCACTCAAAAAATTATGATTTTGTCATTTGGGAGTTGTAGTTGCTGGGATTTATAGTTCACCTACAATCAAAGAGCATTCTGAACTCCACCAACGATGGAATTGAACCAAACTTGGCACACAGAACTCCCATGACCAATAGAAAAAATTGGGAGGGTTTGGTGGGCATTGACCTTGAGTTTGGGAATTGTAGTTCACCTATATCCAGAGAGCACTGTGGACTCAAACAATGATGGATCTGGACCAAACTTGGCACAAGCACTCAATACGCCCAAATATGAACACAGATGGGGGAAATAGACCTTGACATTTGGGAGTTGTAGTCACTGGAATTCACAGTTCATCTACAATCAAAGAGCATTCTGAACCCCACAAACGACAGAATTGGGGCGAACTTCCCACAGAAAATACTTAAGGCCATCCAATCCAACTCGCGAAGGCTGATCTGGCTGGGGTGGTCCATGCCTTGGTCACCTCTAGATTGGACTACTGCAATGCGCTCTATCTAGGGCTGCCCTTGAAAACGGCTCGGAAATTCCAACTGGTCCAACGGGCAGCAGCCAGGATGTTAACTGGGGCCCATTACAGAGAGAGGTCAACCCTCCTGTTCAAGGAGCTCCACTGGCTGCCATTTATTTTCCGAGCCCAATTTAAGGTGCAGGTGCTTACCTACAAAGCCCTGAACTGTTTGGGACCACCCTACCTGCGTGACCGCATCTCCGTCTACGAACCCACACGTTCACTCCGGTCATCTGGAGAGGCCCTGCTCGTGATCCCGCCCACGTCGCAAGCGCGCTTGGTGGGGACTCGAGACAGGACCTTTTCTGTGGTGGCCCCCCGACTCTGGAATGCCCTCCCAAAAGATCTTAGACAGGACCCTTCACTGGCAGTCTTCAGAAAGAATTTGAAGACCTGGCTGTTCCGATGTGCCTTTTCAGATTAGGAACCTCCAATACCAAGTCCTAGAAGCACTTTAGTAGAACATAAGATCACTGCACACCGCACACTGCACCTACTTTATAATTCTACATACCTCCTGCCACATCAGCACTTTTAATCTTGTAACCCATTTTTCTGGCCTGGCCCAGTTTTATAGTGTCTTGATGTCTTGATGTACTGTTATTGTTGTTGTTTATTTTGCTTAACTGTTTTTAATTTGCTCTAGGTATTGTATTGTTGTATTGTGTTCTGAGGCCTTGGCCTATGTAAGCCGCATTGAGTCCTCCGGGAGATGCTAGCGGGGTACAAATAAAGTTATAATAATAATAATAATAATAATAATAATAACTCCCTTCACCAGGGCAAGAAAACGTAATCAAAGTCCTCCTGACAAAGAGCCACCCAGCTATATCTATATATATATATCTATCTATCATCTATCTATCTATCTATCTATCTATCTATCTATCTATCTATCTATCTATCTATACACACACACACACACACACAGAGAGAGAGAGAGAGAGAGAGAGAGAGAGAGGGATGTATTGTTGAAGGCTTTCAAGGCTGGAATCACTTGGTTGTTGTAGGTTTTTTTGGGCTATATGGCCATGTTTTAGAGGCATTCTCTCCTGAAGTTTCACCTGCATCTATGACAAGCATCCTCGGAGGTAGTGAGGTCTGTTGGAACTAGGAAAAAGGGTTTATATATCTGTGGAATGACCAGGGTGGGACAAAGGATTCTTGTCTGCTGGAGCTAGGTGTGAATGTTTCAACTGACCACCTTGATTAGCATATAATGGCCTGACAGTGCCAAGCAAACTTTTGTTGAGAGATGTTGGCACCGTTGTCAAATGGCAGAAGGTTTTGCTCGGCCCTCTCTCTTGCCCATCTGGTATCTAACCTGAGCATGTTGACCTTGTCATGGTTGGCTGTGTGAAGCCTGGGCCTCCAGTAGAGTCTGCAGGAAATAACAAGCCAACCACAGAAGGGAGCGGAAATGAATCAGAGCCATTTCTCAAGCAGCTTGAAAGCCTTCCAGAGCAGGAGCCAACACTCTGCTGTAAGAGTTCAGGTGGCAGAGAAAGGAGGCCTTGGTGCATCTCCCTTTTTTGAAGTCTGGAGCATCTTAGCAGGTATGAGAGCGGACTGTGTCCGTACTTGGGATGACAGGTACAGATGCATCTTAGCAGGTATGAGAGTGGACTGTGTCTATACCTGGGATGACAGGTACGGACACATGTTAGCAGGTATGAGAGTGGTCTGTGTCTCGATCGAGTAGACAGGACAGCGTCCAGTGGCAATATAAGTCCAGGCAACATTGAGGTTAGATAGGATTAGAAATGAGGGAAATTTTTATTGCTCTGTAACTGGCCTAATTTGCATTTCTCAAACTTAGATGTGGATTACAACAGTCTGAGAGCTTGTGTACTTCTCCAAATCTTGTGCTGAAACTCTTGGTTCCAGAATGTCTGTAAAAATGAGCACATTTTCCCCAAACTCCATCTGTGTTCATATTTGGGCGTATTGAGTGTCGCAAGGGTGTGTCAGAGGGGTCACCAAAGATTGTCAGAAAAAATAGTATTTTCTGTTGGTCATGGGGGTTCTGTTTGGGAAGTTTGGTCCAATTCTATCGTTGGTGGGGTTCAGAATGCTATTTCATTGTGGGTGAACTATAAATCCTACAACTACAACTCCCAAATGTCAAGATCTATTTTCCTCAAAGTCCTCCATTGTTCACATTTGGGCATATTGAGTATTCATGCCAAGTTTGGTCCAGATCCATCATTGTTTTAGTCCGCAGTGCCTTCTGGATGTAGGTGAACTACAATTCCCAGACTCAAGGTCAATGCCCATCAAACTCTTCCAGTATTTTCTGTTGGTCATGGGAGTTCTGTGTGCCAAGTTTGATTCAGTTCCATTGTTGATGGAGTTCAGAATGCTCTTTGAACTATAAATCCCAGCAACTACAACTCCCAAATGACAAAATCATAATTTTTTGTGTGATGGTCACTCCTTGCATTGTGAAACGTTTTGTTGTCAAATTTGGTGTGATTTTGTTCATTGGTTCTTTTGTTTTTAAGGTACTCATTATGCACAGAGCATTTATATATAATAATAATAATAATAATAATAATGAAATACAGAGTGCTCACATGCTTTTTTTCATTATTGATAGTCTTATGGGATCCCTAAAGGATAAAATAAATTATATTTATATGGATTATATTTGTGGGCTGCTAGATGAATATCTGTGTGAAAATACCAAGTTAGTTTTTAGGCCCGAGAATCAGAAAATTACATTTTTTCTTCTCTACAGGTTTCAAGAGGGGCCAATATAAGCCATACCAACAAGGAAGCATCAGCAGGTTGGAAGGACTGAAGCTACAAACGTGTGTGTGTGGGAGAACGCAAAGCTATGTTCCAAGCCAAGGGGCCAGCCAGCGCAACCTCTACTAATGTACGTATTTGAAAACAAGCATTCAAATTGAAGGGGTTTGCTCCTTCTCCTTACAAAGTAGTTAATACATATCCTTATTGCTTGAATTATATAACTTGCAGGTGGAAGGCCATCTTAGTCCCCTTTTACACTGCCATATAAAATCCAGATTTTCTGCTCTGAATTGGATTATATGGTAGCGTTGACTCATATAATCAAATTAAAAGCAAAAAATGTGGATTATCTGTTTTGATAATATAGATTATATGGCAGTGTAAAAGAAGCCTTAATGTATAACAGCCAAATCAAAAAAGAATCCTGTGGCACTTTAAAGACTAACCAATATGTGCCGACTTTAGATTTTTTGGCTTACAATTCACTTTTCCGATGCATGAAAGGTTATCTGTGGATTATCTTCTTTGATAATCCACAAAATTCAATTTGCGTTCGGACAGGTAGTCTGGGCCAGAACCGTTTAGGGCTTTAGAGGTTAAAACAGCACTCTGAATTGTGCTCGGAAGCAGACCGGCAGCCAGTAGAGCTGGCGTAACAGAGGAGTTGTGTACTCCTTATATACCAGTGGTTCTCAACCTGTGGGTCCCCAGATGTTTTGGCCTTCAACTCCCAGAAATCCTAACAGCTGGTAAACTGGCTGGGATTTCTGGGAATTGTAGGCCAAAACACCTGGGGACCCACAGGTTGAGAACCACTGGCATATACGCTGCTCCGGTGAGCAACCTGGATGCCGACCACTTCCGGGCAGTCTTCAAAAGCAGCCCCACGTAGAATGTGTTGCAGTAGTCTATTCGGGATGTAACAAGAGCATGGACCACCGTGGATATGAAAATTAGTTCTCATTTTTCTTCTTCTTCCCTCCTGTTTTTCCCTTTTAGGAGGCAAAGAGCAACTCAGGGGCATCCACTGTGCAGAGATCCAAGGTAATTTGCCTTCCCATTTTTTCCTTTCTGATATGATTTATTTGTCCTAAATATGAGTTGCATTGTCTACAGATGGGGGTTTCTGTGTTCTGTTGCTATATCATGGTTTTTATTCACAGAGAGATAATAAGAAAAAAAAGGGGGATTCTTAATCTCTCAATAACATCGACTAATCAAACAAATCTGATCAACAGAGATGTATACGCAGGGCTTAATATAAGCCAGAGCAAAGCACCAAAATTGCATTTCACTGGGTAGGTGCAGCTACAGATATAGCAGCCCTATGGAAAATCAGGTGGAATGGACGGATTCAATAGGATATGGTAATTCTCAAGTACAACATCTATAGAATAGCTAGCAAAGGGCATGTTAAGGCTACATGGCCTTGCATCTTTGAAAGCCAGTAGAAAATTTACCTGCAGAGTCGAGCGGAAACATATATTAAATATTTATTCTCTGTCAATAATTGGTTTTAACAACAATGTAACACTCTTCTTTTTCCCTCTTGTCTGTTATTTCCCTTCTGTGATAATTGAACTAAAGAAATATTAAAAGCATTTGGGATTTAATAACTTTGCACACTAGCTACACATGCCCGAGTATGTTTCTGGGATGGGAAAATATCATGGAAGCTGATATTTTTTATTTACTTACTTACTGTAATTGTATACCCCCTTTCTCAGCCTTTCGGTGACTCAAGGCGGTTTACAGGCAACAAGTAATATACATAATATTGAAATGAACATAAAAACATAAAACCACAACAGAAATAATAAGCAACAGCCAGGAGACAGGTGTTTTAAAAGTCTCTTCCTCAGTCCCCTTCCTCCTCTTAGCTGACTTGGGAGGAGGAGAGTAGCAGCAGGATTTCCTCTTTCTCCTTCTGAGGTGGCAGGCAGATGTAGTAAGCAACAGCTAGGAGACAGGTGTTTTTAAAATCTCTTCCTCAGTCCCCTTCCTCCTCTTAGCTGGCTTGGGAGGAGGAGAGTAGCAGCAGAATTTCCTCTTTCTCCTTCTGAGGTGGCAGGCAGATGTAATAAGCAACAGCCAGGAGACAGTTGTTTTTAAAGTCTCTTCCTCAGTCCCCTTCCTCCACTTAGCTGGCTTGGGAGGGGGAGAGTCGCAGCAGGATTTCCTCCTTCTCCTCCTGAGGTGGCAGGCAGATGTAGTAAGCAACAGCCAGGAGACAGTTGTTTTTAAAGTCTCTTCCTCAGTCCCCTTCCTCCTCTTAGCTGGCTTTGGGGGGAGGGGGAGAGTAGCAGCAGGATTTCCTCCTTCTCCTTCTGAGGTGGCAGGCAGATGTAGTAAGCAACAGCCAGGAGACAGTGTTTTTAAAGACTCTTCCTCAGTCCCCTTCCTCCTCTTAGCTGGCTTGGGGGGGGGGGGGGCGGCGAGTAGTGTTGTTTATAGTAAGTGACCCATTCCTTTGCCCGGGAAAACAACTTTTCTAGGGACTCCAAATGACTGTTTCTTGAAATAGGTCTGATTATAGATTAGCGACTGATTTAAGAGAAGGAAGCCAATTAACAGTTTTCATTGGCGGGAGGTAATCTGCTCTATTTAATCTAGTTGTTCATAAACAATGTACTGTTGAAATGGGCATCAATATTACAAAATGTGACTTGAATACTTTATTGGATAAAAGCAACAAACAAAAAAAATCCTGGAGAAGGTTTTAGCACACTACCCCAAAAATTCTTAGCATTAAAAGAAGATGTGGATTTGGAAGATGTGTGGAGGTTGATGAATGGAAGAAAACAGGATTACACCGTCTACTCTCATAGATATAAAATACAGTCAAGGATTGATATGGTATGGGCCACAGAAAGTTTAACTACTAAGATTGACATAATAAACATCTTACCTAGAGACCTTTCCGACCAGAAATAGTAATCAACCAAAAAAGACAACATCGAAAATGGAGATTGAACGAGAACTTACTAGATGACATCAAAAGATACAGGGTGCAGCAGCTTATATTTTTTTTTGGTGTGTTTATAAAATTTTATTTTTTTAAAAAAATGACACCATCCCCATTTTACAACTAAACTGATGAGTCTGAGGCCCCTTCTACGCTGTCAAATAAAATCCAGATTATCTGCTTCGAACTGGATTATATGGCAGTGTAGAAGGGGCCAGAATAAACAGTAACTAATCAGGGAAAATCTTGGGATTTGTGATGTTGTTGTTGCGTGCCTTCAAGTCCTTTCTTGCAGATACAAGATCTAAAATATGTGGGGCAGCTGTGACAGGATAAATTCCCTGGTATGGATCATATTATTTATGTATTTTTATTTATTTACTTCATTTATATACCGCTTTTCTCAGCCCTTAGGTGACTCAAAGTGGTTAACAACAACAGTTTCAATACACACATTACAAAATCATGGGAACATTTAAAAGCAATAGCATAACAACAATTAAACATCAATATGACAAATCATTCACGTCTCATCAATAGAATCAAATCAAATCAAATCATTTATTTCGGTCGTTGACCAGCACAGGAAATAGAGTCACATTTCCATACAAACCTGGCATGTTTGGTACATTAAAAATATAAATATAACTACTAAAAGCACAATATGGGTGAGGGAGCAGAAGGGGAAACAGAGTAAAAAACATACAATGCCCAGATCTATCACCAAATTGTAGATTCAGGGAAGAAGATTACTGGACACACAGTTGACTTTTGGGACTAGTCATTCCCTGGCGGATTTTGTATGCTGCTGCACAGAACTTTGCGACATTGTATGTTGTAGCTGAATTAATATCTGCAAGTAGCAGGGAGGTATAAAATTGTCCTGAATGGCCAGGGTGCTTGTCTATCAGAGGTAAGATAAGCCTGACACGGATATCCCTGTAGAACGAGCACCGGAGGAGCACATGTTCTATTGTTTCTACATGACCCGAGTCACAGGGGCAGAGTCTCTCTGGGAAAGGGATCTTCCGGTAGCGGCCTTCGAGTACAGCTGATGGGAGAGCGTGGCATCGGGCCAGGGTGAAAGCCCTTCGATAAATAGGAACCTCTAAGTTTGTTAGATATGCCATAGGGGAGGCAAGGTATCTGCTGTCTTCATTGATAAGGAAGGTTGGAGCCGAGGCCAGATCTAGTTGGCACTCTGTGTCTGTGATACGTTGTTTAATAAGTGCTTTGGCTTGATTGTAATCCATAGCTAATAGTAGACCTGGAGAAAATCCCAATGAGGAGATTTTGGATGCTATCGCCTGCTTCCATGTGGATTGGAAGTCATCCTCCATGGTTAGTGGGGCAAGGCCAAGGGGTGCATGGGACAGTCTGAGCCCAAGGTTGAGTATGGCCACCCACACCCTGGCCTCCACTCTCATAAAACCCGTCTCTAGTTGCAGGGTGGCATTAGAAACGCATTTAGGGACCTGCAAGGCCGATCTCAGAAACTTGGACTGAACCACCTCTAATGGGGCAAAACTGAGGAAGGGGCCCAGCTGAGCACCATACAAGAGTTGGGCTAATGACTTAGCTTCAAACAGCTTGAGAGCTGCTGGTGTGAAGTGGCCCCCTCTTGTCTTGAGATATTTTAGAATGGCAATTGAGCTCCCCTGGGTGGTGTTGGCTACTTGATCCCCATGAGCTCTTCTGCTACCATTAGATTGGAAAACTACACCTAGATATTTGAAGGATGTAACTTGTTCAATTTTATGACCATCTATGCTCCAAGAGTAAGTCCTGGAATCAGAATCAGAATCCAGTCTCATCATCCGTTATCATCCATTATTCCATGTTCCTATAATCCAGTGGTTCTCAACCTTGGGTCCCCAGATGTTTTTGGCCTACAACTCCCAGAAATCGCAGTCAGTTTACCAGCTGTTAGGATTTCTGGGAGTTGAAGGCCAAAAACATCTGGGGATCCCAGGTTGAGAACCACTGCTATAATCAGTTACACTGCCTAATCGAATGCCTGTTCAAACAGCCAGGTCTTCACTTTCCTCCGAAATGCCAATACCCCCTCCCCCTCGTAGAAAACAAGAAATTCTATCGGATTCAGCATTTGTGGAATTTATTAGGTCAATTCAAATCCTTTTGATCATGCATCAAAGCAGGGGAAATGGTTATTGATTTTTTTTCACTATTCTTTAGAATTTCGAATGCACTTTAAAGTACATAAATTCCTTTACAGCTTTTACCTTAGTTGCTGACTTGGTCTAATCTTTAAATGTTTTTTCATCTATTTATAGTTCTTTTCTAAGTAAATAGCTCTACGTATACCTTCAGGTCATATTTCTATATCCTGTTGTTTGTGTAATTTTGTTTATGGATCTTCAAAGAACAGCTGTCATATGGATGTGACAGTCACCCCGGCAAAATCGTTCCGCTCCAGGGACACACTCGGCGACTTCTGTGATCTTTCCTCCATTTTCTCTTTCAAACTCAGCTTGGGGCCACGGGAGGCATGGGGAGAGAAAATGTTTTCCACTTCCCCTTAAATCATCCTCTCCAAGGGCTAAACTAGGCAAAACATAAACATAAACGCCTTCCATGTTATCTCTTAATATTTTGGCAAAAATAATAATCAGTGGGAGAGATCGGGAAAGGGAGAATCTCGAACAGAGAAGGGAGAGATGCTGAAATCTTGAATGAAAACCATTGAACCCTTTTCTGTGCAACAACCTCAATGAAAATCACCTCCCTTCAAAAAATTGTTTCTCCCAAGACAGCTTTTTTTGCTGTCACAAGTTATCTCTGTATAATGAACATTTTTTTTAACCTTCCATGGGAGAGAAATCATATAACTCTACATGAATTCATCCTCCAAAAAGTTGCAGTATATTGACAAAGTAGAAAGAACAGAATCAGCTAAAATGGCATGATCTAAATGAGTCTTTTGCTGGAGCCTAGCACACTCTGCCTTTGCTTCTTCAGTGTGCATTCATGTCTTACAAGGGTTGAATGAAAAGTAATGCCTCCACCTTCGTTACTTGGGTTTGGATAGGAATATTTTAATAAATCAAACGCAGAAATAATCCTTAGAATGTATTGACGAAGGCTTTCATGGCCGGAATCACTGGGTTGTTGTAGGTTTCTTCAGGCTATATGGCCATGTTCTAGAGGCATTCTCTCCTGACGTTTCGCCTGCATCTATGGCAAGCATCCGCAGAGGTAGTGAGGTCTGTTGGAACTAGGAAAAAGGTTTATATATCTGTGGAATGACCGGGTGGGACAAAGGACTCTTGTCTGCTGGAGCTACTGTTATATGTCTGAACATAACAACAAAATCTGGCTACCAGTATAAAAAAAACTTTAAAATTACAACAGCAAAACAACAGAGAGGAAACAATCAGGGACATCTAATCACCTCTCAACAAAAGATTGCCCCAGGCACTAACAAGCCACACCAAACAACTGCCAGGCCATCAAATGCTAATCAAGGTGGTCAGTTGAAACATTCACACCTAGCTCCAACAGACAAGAGTTCTTTGTCCCACCCTGATGATTTACTAGCTGTGCTAAACCACTTTTCAGAGTGTATTTCTTCACTTTGGTGTGGCCACGTGCCATATATGGATTTGAGCATAGGAGTTAGCACAAAAGCAGTTTAAAACCCCAGGGGTTGAGAAGGGTGGAGTAAAAGTGTTTGAAATAAATTTGATAAAATGAAGCCACTTGCTATAGCTATATATTAGGCCACTCAGTATGGCTGTATGTAATCTAGTTTACCTAGCCTTTGCTGCTGTGTGACAGTGGCAGATGTAGGGTTTGTTTTAGGAGAAACATGTGTACTATCTATATGGCAACAGTGTACGGTATGTAAAATGGTTGTTTCTCAACTGTCACCTCTGTTGTATTTTGCTGTTGTCAGTCATTCAGCTTGAAGGCTCAAGTGAAGGAGACCTGCAGCGCCTGCCAGAAAACTGTCTACCCCATGGAGCGCCTGGTGGCTGATAAATTTGTCTTCCATAATTCCTGCTTTTGCTGCAAGCACTGCCGCGCCAAGCTAAGGTGAGAAAAAAACTTTAGAGTGGGAGGTGGAGTGGGGGATAAAGGTAAGAGGACATGTGGGGAGAGGGCATTAGGTACCCATTTCCCCACAGTTAGGGCTAGGCATAGGTTCTTATGGACAGCAGCTCTCCATTTTTCATCACTGGTTATGCTAGCTAGGATAGTTGGATGCTGTAGTCGAGCACTATCTGGGGACTATGCTTTAGCCATCCCTACCCTAGTTTTTCTCTGCCCTTGATAGCAGGTATACCAGTGGTTATGGGTGGCATGCTGGGGAAAATGGAAGAAAAAAGGAAGAGGGGCCAACCAAGGGCAAGATGGATGGATGGGATCCTTGAAGTGACTGGATTGACCTTGAAGGAGCTGGGGGTGGTGACGGCCAACAGGGAGCTCTGGCGTGGGAAGGTCCATAAGGTCACGAAGAGTTGGAAACGACTGAACGAATGAACAAAAAATGGATGGTTAGACCACACCTGGAATATTGTGTCCAATTCTGGGCACGACAATTCAAGAGAAATATTGACAAGCTGGAATGTGTCCAGAGGAGGGCGACTAAAATGATCAAGGGTCTGGAGAACAAGCCCTATGAGGAGCTGCTTAAAGAGCTGGGCATGTTTAGCCTCAATCGAGAGGCTGAGAGGAGACATGATGAGGGCCATGTATCAATATGTGAGAGGAAGTCATAAGGAGGAGTGGGCAAGCTTGTTTTCTGCTTCCCTGGAGACCAGGACGCAGAACAATGGCTTCAAACTACAAGAAAGGAGATTCCATCTGAACATTAGGAAGAACTTCCTGAGTGTGAGAGCTGTTCAGCAGTGGACCTCTTTGCCCCAGAGTGTGGTTGAGGTTCCTTCTTTGGAAGCTTTTAAACAGAGGCTGGATGGCCATCTGTCGGGGGTGCTTTGAATGCAATTTTCCTGCTTCTTGGCAGGGGTTGGACTGGATGGCCCATGAGGTCTCTTCCAACTCTATGATTCTATGATGGCATGAATAATATGCCATATTTTCTTGGATCCTGCACTGTGCACTGGGTGAGACTCAAAGGTCTGTCCAAAAATGATAGTGTTTCAAAAAAGATGTATTTGAATTGAAATTACTGTATCTCTGCAACCATGGACCATCCATGAACTCTTATCGCTTGAAAGGGTGGAACATAGTTTCAAAGTATTGTCAAAGGCTTTCATGGCCGGAATCACTGGGTTGTTGTAGATTTTGCGGGCTGTATGTTTTCTAGAAGCATTCTCTCCTGACATTTCACCTGCATGTATGGCAGGCATCATCAGAAGCAGGACCTCACAATTATTTATTTATTTATTTATTTATTTATTTATTTATTTATTTATTTGCTACATTTATATACCGCCCCTCTCAGTCCAAGGGCAACTTGGAGCGGTTAACAATAGGCAACAATTCGATGCTGGTACAGTTACAACAAATTAAAACAATGATAAATATTTTAAAAATACTAACAACAATATAAAAACATAAAAATCATACACAGCATTTAAAACATTGTCAAAGCATCTCCATCTCAAATAATTATCCAGTTGCGCCGTCAATTGTCCATAATATCATATATCTATGTCATATTTGGGAAGGCCTGTTCAAAAAGCTAGATTTTTACCATTCTTCAGAAGGACAGGAGGGAGCGGGCCAATCTTATCTCTCTAGGCAGGGCATTCCACAGTTGAGGGGCCACCACTGAGAAGGCCCTGTCTCTCGTCCCCACCAAATGCATCTGTGAGGAAGGCGGGAGTGAGAGCAGAGCCTCCCCAGAAGATTTTAGCATTCTAGATGGTTCATAAGGAGAGATACATTTGGATAGGTAAGTTGGACCGAAACTATTTAGGGCTTTATAGGCTAAAGCCAGCACTTTGAATTGTACCCGGAAGCAACTTCATTCATGGCAGCCAGTGGAGCTGGCGCAACAAAGGAGTTGTGTACTTCCTGAGCACTGCTCCTGTTAGCAACCTGCCTGCCGCCCGTTGGACCATTTGAAGCTTCCGAGCAGTCTTCAAAGGCAACCCCACATAGAGTGAGTTGCAGTAGTCTATACGGGATGTAACCAGAGCATGGACCACTGTAGCCAGATCAGACATCCCAAGGTATGGGCACAGCTGGTGCACAAGTTTTAACTGTGCGAAAGCTCCCCAGGCCACCACCGAAACCTGGAGTTCCAGGCTCAGCGATGAATCCAGGATCACTCCCAAGCTGGATCAGACACGTTGCTGGTACATTCTGGAAGTATAAGTTCTGTTACCAACTTCATTCATGTGATGGATAGGAATGATGATCAGTGAGGTTGAGGGGAACCATACTTCAAGCTTGAGGTGATACAACCAGGGATCTTTCCTCTATGGCAGTGTTCCTCAACCTTCCAAATGTTGCGACCCCTTCGTGCGTGCACTTCCTCATGTTGTGGTGACCCCCAACCATAACATTATTTTCCTTGCTACTTCATAACTGTCATTTTGCTACTGTTATGAATCGTCATGTAAATATCTGATATGCAGGATGTATTTTCATTCACTGGATTAAATTTGGTACAAATACTCGATAGGCCCAAATTTGAATACTGGTGGGGTTGGAGAGGGGATCGATTTTGTCACTTGGGAGTTGTAGCTGCTGGGATTTGTAGTTCACCTACAATCAAAGAGCATTCAGAACTCCACCAACGATGGAATTGAACCAAGCTTAGAACACAGAACTCCCATGACCAACAGAAAATGCTGGAAGGGTTTGGTAGGCATTGACCTTGAGTGTAGGAGTTGTTCACCTACATCTAGAGAGCACTGCGGACTCAAACAATGGTGGATCTGGACCAAACTTGGCACGAATGCTCAATATGCCCAAATGTGAACACTGGTGGAGTTTGGGGAAAATAGATCTTGACATTTGGGAGTTGCAATTGCTGGGATTTATAGTTCACTTACAATCAAAGGGCATTCTGAACCCCACCAATGATAGAATTGGGCCAAACTTCGCACACCGGACCCCCATGACCAAAAGAAATACTGTGTTTTCTGATGTTCTCTGGCGACCCCTCTGACACCCCCTCGTGACCCCCTCAGGGGTCCCGACCCCCAGGTTGAGAAACACTGCTCTATGGTACAGCAGTTGTCCTCCACATTTAAGGAGAACTACATGTCTTTCGACCCTTCCCAGTGGATTCTAACATGTCTCTTCCTTCTTTTCAGCTTGGGAAGTTATGCCGCTCTCCATGGTGAATTCTACTGCAAACCACACTTCCAACAGCTGTTCAAGAGCAAAGGCAACTATGACGAGGGTTTCGGCCGCAAGCAGCATAAGCAACTCTGGCTGCAGAAAGACGTGGAGAATGGGACTGATACAGCATGACCCATGGGCTCCCTTTTCCCCACGTTGAGAGCCTCGATATGGGGATGAGCCGAGCTGATGGAAAAGTCATAGTCCTTGCGAGGGTAGCTGAGGGCAGGCAAGGCAAAGCAGGAATACAGGATGGGTTTTCTGGTTTTCATGGTTTTCTGTTGCTTTTGTGTCTGGGCTTAGAGAGGATCCAAGAACCCTGGAAAGAGCCCACATGGTGCTAGGAGTGGAGATCCTATGCAACTCTTATAAGTACAAAACCACTGCCTTGGTGGGGGCACATACTAGTGATGCAAGAAACATACTGGGACTATTATATCGACCCTTTCTTGGGACAGACTACCTACAACTGTGATTCAACCTCTGGTACTAGTTGTTGACCCAAAATCCATCCTTACTGTGCTTTGTCCTCTGTATCACAAAACATACAGAACATCATATTCTCTACGTATATACCCTTTAAGCAACCTACAGTCCCCAAAGAATAGCCTAGATTTGGGGGAATTGCCAAGGTACTATTTTCTCTACAATTGAACCTTCGGCCAAAGAGGTCTTTCCAGCAGCCTTTGGAGTAAAGTACAATGAATTTTGACCATTAATTTGGTCTAAATTGTTTTCCGTTCCTCCCTTTTAATCTAAAATATTAGGCCAGATTAGGTGAAGGAAGTGATACACTTTACCCCAGAGATCACATATAGTGGCCTTTAGGGGTAAACTGTGTATACTTGCTTTGGATGTTCTAAATAAGTGTGCGATGAGAACATGTGTGCTTCTTTAGAAGGTCCAAAGCGGAGGTTTTTCCTTAGATTCTTCACTCTACAGCAGTGGTTCTCAACCTTCCTAATGCCGCGACCCCTTAGTACAGTTCCTCATGTTGTGGTGACCCCCAACCATAACATTATTTTCCTTGCTACTTCATAACTGTCATTTTGCTACTGTTATGAATCGTAATGTAAATATCTGATATGCAGGATGGATTTTCATTCACTGGACCAAATTTGGCCCAAATACCCGATACGCCCAAATTTGAATACTGGTGGGGTTGGGGGGATTGATTTTGTCATTTGGGAGTTGTAGTTGCTGGGATTTATAGTTCACCTACAATCAAAGAGCATTCTGAAGTTCACCAACGATGGAATTGAACCAAACTTGGCACACAGAACTCCCATGACCAACAGAAAATACTGGAAGGGTTTGGTAGGCATTGACCTTGAATTTTGGAGTTGTAGTTCACCTACATCCAGAGAGCACTGTGGATTCAAACAATGATGAATCTGGACTAAACTTGGCAGAAATACTCAATATCCCCAAATGTGAGCACTGGTGGAGTTTGGGGAAAATAGACATCAGCGTTTGGGAGTTGTAGTTGCTGGGATTTATAGTTGACCCACAATGAAATAGCATTCTGAACCTCACCAACGATAGAAATGGACCAAACTTCCCACACAGAACCCCACCAACCAACAGGAAATACTGTGTTTTCTGATGGTCTTTGGTGACCCCTCTGACACCCCCTTGCGACCCCCACAGGGGTCCCAACCCCCAGGTTGAGAAACACTGCTCTACACTTATAACATTACGATGCCACTTCTAACTGCCATGACAACATCCTATGGAATCCAGGGATTTGCTGCTTAGGGATAAGTATGGTATTTATAATTCTCCTCCAGAGATCTCTAAGATCTCACGATATTGCAAACTCCAAGATTATAATAATAATAATAAAAAAAATAAACTTTATTTATACCCCGCCACAATCTCCCCAGTGGGGACTCGGAGCGGCTTACATGAGGCCAAGCCCGAACAACAAATTACAATAAAAATAAAACCAAAACACAACCGAAAATGCAAACAGTAAACAGCAACATCATAATAAAATAATACATGTAAATACATAACAATATAAAGTTACAATAGACGCAATCACAATGACAATGGACGGGCTGCATGTAATGATTTAAAGAAAGACTAATTAAAACTAATTTAAAATTCAGGCGAGATAAAAAGACAGATTATTTGTGGAGGAGAGCTCATTATAGCAGGGGTTGAGGAATCAAGCTTTCCCACAGAAGGGGGGACGACATATACTCCAATGACAGAACATTGAGGCTAAGCAGTAGTGTGGGATTGTATACCTAGTCTCCAAAGGCGCAGCAGAAGAGCCAGGTTTTAAGGTCCTTTTTAAAGGTTTCTAGGGTAGGGACTTTCCTAATTTCTCCAGGTAGTGAATTCCAAAGTCGGGGAGACACAGAGGAGAAAGCTCTCTCCCTTGTGCATAGGATGTTCCCTTGCCATTAAAATGGAACCATAGTGCTGTAACTGTGTAGTTTGAAAGTTTTCTTATGGTTAAAGATAAGGAACATTCCTGGAATTGGGGTGGTGGGTGGGTGGGAATTGTTACAAAAGTGACTGAAATATGCATGCCAGTCCAGTTTGAACCCAAGGTTCACTTGGGTCACAAAATGAGATCCCAAACCATGTACCCTGGTTTTCATCAGCTCTGTTCAGCCCATTCAGCCTTAAATCTTGGGGGAAAACATTCATTGTCTATCTTTTATATTTGCCTTTTTCGGTGGTATGTGGTAAGCTGAAGCACAAACTCATGGTGTTGTGTCCGGAGTTGCGCTGCCTGCTCTTTTATTTTTGTAATATAAGTTTTCTGAGTCTTTCTCGTTTCATGTCATTTTATGAAAAGGCTTGACAGGGGAGGTGAATTTACAATTTGACTTATGATACTTGAAAAAACCTTCCTACTACACCAACTGCTGGTATTCATTCCGACTGAAAGCACAGCACAGCCAACACTGGATGTATCTATTTTGCAGAATTCATAGCATGTTGATTTAATTTTAACTGTCATGGCTCCATCTTATGGACATTTGGGATGAGCAGTTTGGTCAGGCACACAGGTCTCGGCCAGCGTTTTTTAAACAAATCTACAATAATAATAATATAATAAAACTTTATTTATATAACGCTCCATCTCCCCGAGGGGACTCAGAGCAGTTCCCAGGTAAGATCACAAAACATACAAAGTAAAAAACAACATAACCATAAGATTAACAAAACAAAATATAAGCATAAAAATTGTCACCATAACACACATATATTAAAAGTAGTCCTGCCTGATCAAGGCAATTAAAACATTTTAAAGGCCGGGCCAAGATTTGGGCAAGCCCAAAAATTCTAGGGGGCCCGGGAATTAAGTGCAATGCTATGGCAGGCAACAATAATATTAGGTATGGGTCTGTGGCTGTTCATTCCGGGGCCGATTAGAGGAAGGAATCTGGGTAATTGGTAGGAAGAATAAGGCCGTATTCGACAATGTGTAGGGCTGAGTTAGAACTGGCCATTTTCAAAGGCTTGTTGAAACCAACAGGTCTTTAAGCTCTTACGAAAGGAGGGGAGGGATGGGGCCTGTTTTATTTCCCTTGGAAGGGCATTCCAGAGGCAGGAGGACCACCACTGAGAAGGCCCTCTCTCCCGTCCCCACCAACCGCGCTTGAGATGATAGTGGGACCGAGAGGAGGGCCTCCACGGAAGATCTCAGAGCTCGTGCTGGTTCATAGAAGGAGATGCGATTGCGGAGATAGGTGGGGTCCGAATCGTTTAGTTCCCCTGCTACCATAGAATGGATGCGATCGCGAAGATAGGCGGGGGCCGAACCATTTAGTTCCCCTGCTACCATAGAACGGATCCATGGCAATTAAAAGTGGCATCAGAGTGCTATTTCTTGTGTAGTGCGAATGTTATATACAGTAGACTCAGTCAACTGGCACCATTGAAGATTGGTAGATGCTGGATAACTATAGTTTCCGTTTGCTTAGGAGTTACTATTAAAATACTCCTAATATTGTACTCCTTAGTATACCATACTCTGTGTTGACTTGATATTGAAATACAGTAATTAAAAGCAAATCAAGACAAAAGCAAACTTGCATTTCTGCTAAAATTAATTTCGTTTTATTTTTTATTTGAATTATAACTTCTTCAATGTGTTTGCCAGTTGCTTGAGAGTTTTGGTTTGCCTGAGTTCTGGTTAACTGAGGCCTCTTGTACATTGTGGAGACCAAAATCCACTGATTGTGGCAATATGAAAACAACCAAATTAACCAAATGTATATATTACACATATCAAAAAAACAGGACTGCCACATTCACATTAAGTAGAAACAACTGGTCTTCTCTTGAAATATAAAACACAGTCTTCGTGTAAGTAAATGTCCTATTCTTTATTCCATATGAGTAGACTCCAGTAGTCACATGAATTGACTCCAACCCACGACCGGTTTCGACTCGCAAGAGCCTTCGTCAGGGGGTTGGGTCTACAAACAACGCATATCATATCATATACATTTAGTTAATTTGGTTGTTTTCATATTGCCACAATCAGTGGATTTTGGTCTCCACAGTGTCAGGGGAACCCATTTTTCTTCTCTGGCCTCTTGTACACTGCCACATAAAATTCAGATTATCTGCTTTGAATTGGATGATATGGCAGGGTAGACTCATAATCCAGTTCAAAGCAGAAAATGTGGATTATCTACTTTGATAATCTGGATCATATGGCAGTGTAAAAGGGGCCTAAGACTCTACTGTATTTAACAAGTAAGTCTAAAGTTTAAGAAAAAATGGAAGACTTGGGCAGACAGCAATGTGGAGGTGAATCGCTTTAGCAGGAATAAGCTAAGTGTCCCTCACATACAGCCCCCAAGACTATTTTTGTGCCCCACATCTTGCAAAATCATAGACACATACTCCCGCCCTGTGTCTGTTTTTGGCAGAATGTCACCATCTGGTCATTTCTGACTGGGAAAAAGATACCCATGGATTGAAATAAACCTTAAATTATGAAAATGGCCTTAATTAGCCCATAATATTGTCTAGTCACTTTGTGTTTGTGTTAGTGCCTACTTTTATATTCCCCCCTTTTTTTGTAAAATACAGATGGCGGCGAGCAAAGAGGAAAACAAGTCAATAAAAGACAGGTGATTTACATGTTATTCTAAAGCAGGGATCCTCAAACTATGGCCTGCGGGCCAGCCCCAGCCCCCTGAGGGCATTTATCCGGCCCGCGGCGTGTGGAGAGGGGTAAGTCCTCCTTTGGGGCCGTGTCCCTTGCCGCTTCCCTTGGCACGGCCTGCCTTCAGGAYGGGGCCTCGCCTCATCCTGAAGGCAGGAGATGGCGGGGGAGGCGGTGGGCAAAGCGGCTTTGGAGCCATGTTGCCTGCCGCTTCCCTGGGCTCAGCCTGGCCTTCTCCTGCCTTCGGGATGGGGCCTCGCCTCATCCCGAAGGCAGG